AGCAGGACAGGAATCCCGACATTTCTAGAACCCGAAGTTCATTGTCGTGTTTACACCACACACAAGTCTGAGGTCATGTGTGAGAAACACGGAGATGTTAGCACCGCCCCCTCGCAACCCACAAGAGAGGGTCACCCCTTGTTGGCTGTCTGCGACTGCTTGTTACATAGCATGAAGAGACAAGATGCTGGAAGTAAATGCAGAATGATCAGTTCTGCAATACGTATTCTTCACCAAATATCGTTATGATGTTGGGACCAAAACAGGATGAAGTGTAGAACGCAAGGAGCAGATGAAAAATGCATATAAAGTTTTTGTTAATTCCTGAAGAGGAGGGGCCGATTGGAAGAACTAAACGTAGATGGGAGGATAATATTAAAAAATAAGGATATTGTGTCGGAATGTGTAGATTGGATTTATCTGGCTAAGGATAAGGGCAGATGTCGGGCTTATATTAACACGGTAAGTAATTGTTTATGTACGTTGTAACTTTATGATTATAAGTGGAACAATGAACTTCTACAGTAGTAGATTTAGTTTTCTAGTAAACACCCAGACGTCAAGATCCATAAAGCGTAAAACATTTTGGAGGAAATGACTAAGCCCACTTTTGCATTGTTGTTACACTTACGCGTTTCGTATTAGTACTTATAATTCCCGTCAGAGGCAACTGTCAAAACCATTCTGCTAAAGTCTTTTGACAGCAACATTATTTTGCACTATGCCATATTCTTTATATTCATTCGTGTATCTTCGGTATACGTAATAAAGGAAGCCGATTTACAATTCATCGTGAAGGGTTGTGATGAATGCTTTCTTGTGTCTCGACAAGGCCACGGCAGTTGCGATTCCAAGAACCGGAAATTGAAATGTCCGTGCGATCCCCTGTCCACACTCTTGTGTTTTCATCTTCTGTTTTGAAACGTAACAAAAAACATTTCTTGTATTCATACGCCTTTGGGACATCTTGGGACATAGAGGCACTGTTCCTTTATACGTAACATAGTAACACGGCCGTGGTGGGTTCTTGTGAACAGGGTAATGAACCTTCGGTTCCGTAAAAGGTGGGGGATTTCTTGATTAGCTGATAGTACTATCAGTTCCTCAGGAATGACTGTGCTCCATGGAATTATTTGGTTAGTGGTGGTTTTACTCGGTCCCTTCAAGCTTGTGCCGGGGTGGTATAGTACTTTAAACTAAAGTATCACCACTTACTTTATAATTTAATATCCAAGTAATTCTAACATTCGACATTAATAACGTATACGGCCGACCAGTCGTCCTGAAGAAGGAAGAAAGGAAAACGAAGAGATGGGAATAAGGGCAGAAAGACAACAGTAAGTCTTTATTCTTTCCAAATTAAGCGACGGAAAAATGCACTGGGAAACTTGACGGGTTTTATTTTACTAGTTAAGACGATGAGAACTGAGGATGTAGTCTGTTATAATGAAGGCTTCCGACCAGAAATGCAATTGCCTTAATGCTTTCGGTCCTGTGTGGTATTTATTCAGCAACAGAAATAGAATAGACTTCTTGTGTTGTTGTTGTTGTTGTTTTTTTCGCTGTGACTCATAAGTAAGCACATTCTCTTTGTGCAGAATTACGTCTGTGAGGAAGACGACCGTACTTGTCTTGCTAAGGCATCCGTGTCGCGAAGCAATGACCACGGCGCAGGAGGAAACATGCTTCAGTGAATCAACACTCAGGCGGGTGGATGTGAGCCTCGGAGGTTGTGGAGTGGCAGGCAACCGTCTTCCCGTGAAGCAGTTATTTGATAGAACCCCTTGGACGGAGGGTCCATACATCGCAAGGCCTCTACATACGTGCGACAACGCAACTCAAGTAAGTTTCGACAGACTCATACACTACTGTTAGGTTCGATATTTTAAACTCGAAATTCTAGTATTGTATTATGTCGACTTTTAAAATATCTATAAGGCTTACTGAGACATAAGTGTTATAACGGTAATGCAGAATGGATTATGACATTTTGGGATGGCTTCTTGAAGGCAAGACTTTATACTTCAATCCGTGTTCCTTGCGCCTGAAAATTAAGCCAAAACCAGCCTTCGAAATGCCATGTGTTTGTTTACCCAGAAAATAGGCAGTTTCAGATGAATAAATATATTCTCCTGGTGATTTCCAGCTTAACAAATGCGTGTGTCTATGTGATAAGAAAATGTTACGTATGCAAAATTGCGAGCACTTGGAATACTCGAAAGCAAAAGGCTAACAGCGGTCGACGATGTGAATGAACTATGCGTTTCACTGCCATGATAACTGAAACAAAGGACATACATAATGCGGGGTGAATGGATTCAAGAGACTTGGAACGGATCGCTGCTCTCTGCAAAAAAATATTATTATACATACGTTATTAAGGAAATGTAGGCTTATGAACGTTCTCAGTTTTTAATTACGTTTTCTCAACTGTTTAAGCACGCGATGTATAGTGTAGAATAGGAGACTATTTAGAAACGTGTACCAGAAAGTGTGGGGAGGAATCGTGATATGGATGGATACATTCCTTAACATTTTAGAAATTAAGCAAGTATTCGAATCCATGACCTCCCGAATACAGAGTATAAGG